AAAATTTAGAGAATGTACAAAGTATCTACTATACCTAATCTCTAATTTTGTGTCATTTGAAAAATTTTTACCATCCCATAAAAATTTTCTTGTTAGCCTAAATAGTATTTCTATTTCAAATATATTATCCAAGGTATTATCTAGTGAAAAATGGAGTCAAACCATAAAAATAGAAATTGAGGCTAGAGAAAAATAAGACATAGGAACTGACAGAGTTGCTTAAAAGAAAAAAATTTAGTTTAGTGTAAATGAGTTTTCACTGTAAAGTACAAATCAATGGTACCATTGAAAGGTATAAACTAGGTTGATGGCTAAGGGTTATACTCAAACTTATGGAGTGGATTATCAGGAAATTTTGTGATTCAATTGCCAAAATAAATACAATTATGATTTTATTATTATTGGCTGTAAATTACAATTGATAGTTTCAACAATTTGATGTAAAGAATGCATTTTTACATAGTGATTTGGAAGAAGAAATATATATGAGAGCTCTATTGGGATTTAGAAGTCATCTTGAAGTAAACAAAGTATGCAAGCTGAAAAAGGTTTTATATGGCTTTAAATAGTCTCCTAGGGCTTGGTTCGAGAGATTTGTCAAAATGACGTTAGCAATGAGATATAAGTAGAGTCAAGGAGAGCACACATTGTTTATCAAGCATTCTGATTTAGGGAGAGTCACAGTTTTATTAATGAATGTTGATAATATAATTATAACCGAAGATGAAAAAGAAATAGAATCTCAAATAGTATTTAGCTAGAAAATTTGAGATAAAAGAGTTAAAGAGATTGAAGTACTTCTTAAAAATTGAAGTAACTCACTCACAGCATGATATTTTTATCTTACAATAAAAATATGTGATAAATCTTTTAAAGGAAACTGAAAAGCTTGCTTTAGAAATGAGGTAACTATAGTTTTTAACTCTATTTTTTAAAATGATCATGAATATTTTAAAACTATAACTAGTGATTATAATCTGCCTATTGCCATTAGAAAAAGAATTAGAGAATGTACTAAATATCTACTATACCTAATCTTTAATTTTGTGTCATTTGAAAATTTTTTTGTGAGCCTAAATAGTATTTCTATTTCAAATATATTATCCAAGATATTATCCAGTGAGAAATGAAGCCAAACTATAAAAATAGAAATTGAGGCTTTAGAGAAAAATAAGACATAAGAACTAACAGAGTTGCTTAAAAGAAAAAATTCAGTTTTGTGTAAATGAATTTTTACTATAAAGTACAAAGTAAATGGTACTGTTGAAAGGTATAAAATCAAGTTGATGGCTAAGGGTTATACTCAAACTTATGGAGTGAATTATCAGGAAATTTTGTGCTTCAATTGCCAAAATAAATACAGTTATGATTTTATTATCATTGGCTATAAATTAAAATTGGCAGTTTCGATAATTTAATGTAAAGAATACTTTTATACATAGTGATTTGGAATAAGAAATATATATGAAATGTCCATTGGGATTTGGAAGTCCTCTCGAAGTAAACAAAATATGCAAGATGAAAAAGGTTTTATATGGCTTTAAATCGTCTCATAGGGCTTGGTTCGGGAGATTTATCAAAATGATGTTAGCAATGAGATATAAGTAGAGTCAAGGAGAGCACACATTGTTTATCAAGGATTCTGATTTAGGGAGAGTCACACTTCTATTAGTGAATGTTAATGATATAATTATAATCGAGGATGAAAAAAAAAAGAGAATCTCAAATAGTATTTAGCTAGAAAATTTGAGATAAAAAAGCTAAGGAGATTGAAGTACTTCCTAAAAATTGAAGTAGCTCACTCACAGCATAATATTTTTATCTTGCAACAAAAATATGTGATGGATCTTTTAAAGAAAATTGGAAAGCTTATATGTAAACTTGTAAATACTCCTATAGATGCTAATCATAAACTTGAAAAAACTAATGAAGATGCTGTTGTAGATAGATAAAGGCATTAGAGATTAGTTGAAAGAGTCATCTCTCTCTCACATACTAGATCTGATATAGCATATGCTGTGAATGTAATAAGTCAATTTATGTATAGTTCTAAAGAAGTGCACGTACAGACTATCGATCGTGTATTGTACTATTTGAAAGTCAATTCTAAGACAGGTATCTTATTCAAAAAAAAAATTGGGTTTGGTTGTAGAGGCATACACATATATGGATTATACAAGTTCAGTAACTTGTGACTTGGAGGAATAAAAAAAAAGATGGTGGTAAGATCAAGTGTAAAGACGGAGTTTAGAGTAATAGCTCATGGAATTTGTAAATTATTATGATTAAAGATTATTCTAGAAGATTTGAAGATCAAGTGAGAGGGACCAATAATACTCTACTGTGATAACAAATATGTAATAAGCATTGTACACAATCCTATGCAACATGACAAAATAAAACACATTGAAGTAGATCAATATTTCATAAAAGAGAAACTAGATAGTGGGTTAATTTGTACATTGTATGTATCAACGAAAGATCAACTTGTAAATGTGTTGACTAAAAGTTTTAGTAGTGCAACATTTTAAGAAATTATTTTCAAGCTAGGAATGAAAAACACCTATTCAACATCTTGAAGAAGAGTGTGAAAAAACACTTATTTTCAGATGATTGTAATCTTGTAATTTATATATTTATATTTGTATTTTTAGAATTAAGTATTTGTATCATTAGAATTAAGGATGAAAAATTATTATAGATAATCTCTCAATCATAGGATCAATTTTTAAGAAGATTTAGTTTCCTAATTTACCTTCTAATTAATTATATATAAATCTAAAATGTTTATATAATTCTTTATTAACAGTGTTTCAATATATGTTCAACTTTATTCTTAATTTTTTATGCAATTTTATTTTATAATTTTTCCATATGGGGCTTTTGATGCTAAGTTAAGTTCCTAATGGCTGAAATTTGATTTATCCTTCTTGAACCATATTCTGCTTAGATAATCTAATCCCAGAATGTATTTACTTGTGTGGTATTTGTGATAATGATTATTAAAAGGAATTTTATAACATTGCTTTTTTTTAATTTTTAAATTTCCCCGATATTTTTCATCTTCAGGTTCTTCCTTCTGCTGCAATAACTTATTTCATATATGGGTTTATGAAGATTTTTCTCAAAGTGAACTGAATTGAGACAATGGATCCCACTCTCAGGAAAAGAACTGGTAAGATGTTGTACAGTGACTATAAAACGAGCACAGCACAAAAGATTCATAATGGTAAGAATTAGTCATTTAAACTTTATTGATATCTTCAATTATTTTCTTGATTATTGATCTACCACCCAAGAATTTTGACTTTCATAGTTTCAAAGCTTTATCTTAATTATATAATTTATATAATATAATCTAGTGATTGTCATTTTCATTTCTGTCTCTCATGGTCATGGGTAAGATCAGGCCCTTGGTAGGGACATGGGGGTTTGGAGGGGGCCAACCTGTGATGATGTCATTGATGAATGACATTGAATCATTTAATAAGGAGGATTTAAAAATGCGTGTCACCATATTCGGGCAAAAAGACGGGCACATGATTTGTGTTTGTTTTCCATCCCCATAAACTTTCTCTGCTTATAATATAATTGGAAAAACAGAAAACCCATCCACAGACTCAGTTTTTTTCTGGAACTCCCCTTCTAAGTAATGCTCTGTCAGTGTTGCGGATGGTCTGAGGACTCGTAGAATCTGTCATCATTCATTTGAATAATTTATGTTTCAAATTCTAAAAATTATATATAATATTATATTATAACATACAAATATAATAAGATTTACTTACATAAATATTAATTTGAAAATGAATAAAAGGATATATGATTATTTATTTTATTTAATATTATTCAAATCTATTAAAAATATTTAAATTTGTTTAAATTGATAAAGGTATGCATAAATTATTATTTAAAAATTTTGGTTTAAAGACTTAAAAATATCAGTTAAATAAATAGATAAAAACACCTATTTAAATAAAAATATAAAGTCATGTTCAACTATTTATATTTTAAAATACTTGATATAGAATTAAAAATAAAATAGATTTTTACTATTCTATTCTATCTAAATTTTTTTTTCCTTCTTCCATTTCAAATATTTTTCAAATTCTTCATCTAAATGTATTTTTTTCATTCATTTTTTTTGAAGACTTTATTTTCTCCCTTAAATTTTTTTATTTTTATTTTCTTTTTACAATGATTTATACTATCAATAAAAATAAAAAATGGATCTTTTAAGAAAAAAGAAGTGTTTTTTTTTTGTTTCCTTGAATATCTGGTTTACTTTTAAAAAGGTTTTCATTTCTTGATTTTCATATAATTTTTGGTTTATATATATCTGTTCTATTATTGTTACTCTAAATTCTGTTCTATTATGGTGAAAAAAAAATTAAAATTGAAGTTTTCTTATTTTTTTTAATAATGAATGGAAATTTCTAATCATAAGTGCATGTACCCATGTAGAAGATAAATGTTTAGGGGATTGAAAAATGATTTAGAATCTGTTGAGCTCTTTTCGGTTCGACTTTTTAAATTATATTTTTATCTTTAATTCAAAATTCTTTTAATCTTTTGATCGATTTTATTATTGAATTTCAGTTATATTTTATTTTAATTATCAATTTTTTTTATAATTTTTTGAAATTTATAAACAGTTACTACATTTGGATTTTATGTAAATATTTTTTACATAGCAAAATTTTCTTTTTTATCAATTAAGCAATCAAGTTTATGAAATGAATTTAATTAAATATTTTAATATTTTAATAGTTATTAATATATTTTTCTAAATTATAATGGAGGTTAAAAAATTATTTAAAAATTGTTGATAAATTATATTTTTATTTTAAAATTTTGTACTTTTAATTTATGAAATTAAAAATCAAATCAAAGATTTTAATATCAAATATATAAATTTAATTAAAAATAAAAAGGAAAATATAAATATTTAATGATAAATATAAAATTTTGAACCTACAAAAATTTTATGTAAATTTTTAATGAATTAAATAAAATATTATTATAAATATAAAACGTCTGTTCATTTGTACGGGTAAAAATGTAGTGACTTTATATTTGAAAAACTCTGATCTGATTTGCCATCCGCTTAATGGACGCAAATCACATGGCCTTGTTGATTGAGTGAGATTTGATATATATATATATATATAATTTTATTAGAAAAATATGGTGTGCATTAATCACCAAGCTTGAAACTCTTAACTAATTTCCCACCAACCGTGGATGGCTCTGAAATAATATATCTTTTGTTGTTTTCCTTCTCCAACAAGCTTCGGTATCTCCGGCTCGCAAAACCCTAGCTCACTGCCATGTCGCCGTCGGGCGACAGAGCCATTAACGGCTGTCGCTGCTCCTTTTCCTCCGGCGAGAATGGTGGTTTTCACGATGGCGCCGCCGATTATGGTCTCCCCGGATCGCATGACGAGACTTGCACGCATTGCGCGAGATCCAAACCTTCGTCATATTCGTCCTCTGTGCTTGGTTTTGATACGATTCTGTTAACGGACTCGGAGAAGCTGCGGAGAATTGTGGTCGCTTCAGCTAAAGGCTTCTCAATTGGAGCTGGCCTTAAAGGTGGCTTAGCTCTCTTCTCGATTCTAGCACGCTTGCGGCGCAAAAAATCCAGGCAATTGTTGTAAAATAAAATTTGATCATTTCTTTTTAATTTGCTTAAGAATAATGAAGCAGTAATTTCTTCATTTAGGAAAGTTGAGGCCTTTTCTGATAAAGAAGCAATTTCTATGGCGATTAAGGAAACACTTAGATACGGCCTTTTTCTTGGAACTTTTTCCGGTACATATGTTTCAGTAGATGAAATTATTGGTGCTCTCGGAGGACATAACAGGCAATGATCTTTATCTTAATTTTCCTATCTTTAATTGATAAAATGAAAATGTTTTTGAACTTGAGTTTGATTTAGTGAAGTGTTAAATTTTGAATCAGGACTGCGAAATGGAGGGCATTAGTAGCAGGACTGGTTGCAGGGCCTTCCATGCTTCTTACTGGGCCTAATACACTGCATACGAGTTTGGCTATATACATACTCATGCGAGCTGCTGTATTGGCATCACGCTGTGGAATAAAAAGTAAACGGTTTGGGAAGCTTTGTAAACCGCTTACTTGGAAGCATGGTGACATATTCCTTATGTGTCTCTCCTCTTCGCAAATTTTGTATGTTCCTTTGTTAACTTCTCTTGGTTATATTTGTTGTTTTCTGCTATTAAACTTTAGTGCAATTCTTCTCGTTGATCATGGTAATTGTCAGTTGTAGAAGTTACCACCTAGACTAGGTGACTAAGCCTCCTGGGATTCCTGTATCCTGGATGAAGAACCCAGTCTTCCAGATTAAGTTACCAATCTCTTAACAATTTCCTTGGTGGAAGATTTTGAGAGAAAAAGAAATTGTGATACTGTAACATTTTGCAGGCATTCTAAAATATATCAGACTATGTATGAAATGAGTCATGAGTGATCTAATCAGCATGCTAAGGGACTCTGTTGTTTGTTGTTGTCTTTTTAACTTTCATTCAACCTGTTAAAGCTGGCATCAAAATTCAAATGTTTTCATGCTGCCTTGCCATCTCTATAGTTAGAAGTTCATTAAATCTTAGGCTTCATAGCAGGAACTTAGATACTTAAATCTAAAAGTTGGTAAAAGCCTAAATATGTGAAAATAAAGTGAAAATATTTGCTTGAATTAAAGGTAAGTGATCATTATACTTTTTTAGGCATCATTTGAGAAGAGCTGGATGACAATGTGTAGCTTTACAAGTTGTACACGTAATGGCATCCTAAAACACAATCTGGGAAAATTTTACTCAATATATTTTCCTAAGAAGATGATGAATATACTTTATTTTTTTGGGTGTAATTTTTAAGTGGAAGCATTTATATTTTCAGGTCCTCTTTCCTTCTGAAGCAAGATAGTTTACCCTCATCATATAAGTCCTTTCTCAGAAAACACTGTGGAAAGGATAATGTTCTTCTGCATGGTGTAAAAGAGCTTGCAAGTGGGCTTCCATTCACTAATTTGGAAGAAATAGAAAAATTTTACAAGGCAACAGGAGTAGACATTAAATTAGATCCAAACATGAAAGTCCCCTGTACGGTATGATCCTTGTTTCTCCTTTTCTGTTGTTGCCAAGTAGTACTAATGTATATACCTTAATCGTAGTATTCATTCCTTCTTCAGTTGCCTTTCTTTCTTCCTTTGGAACAAAAACAATAATAGCAAAGCGTTTTCCCCCTACATAGTGTCCATAATATGAATAAGGCTTCACTGTTGTGCTTTAATTTTTTAGGACCATATCTTGAGTAAGACCATTAAATGGGTGCTTCATTTTGCGTTCAGGAAAGATGTGTATGGAAATTAATATCTTCATGAAGATTAAGTTGGATGCCTATTGAATAGAATAATTTGTAAGAATTGAAGAAAGCTTAGTAAGAAGGTCTTGGTTAAGAAAAGTAATGTGAACTGACATTCAGCCTTTCATTTCCCTCATTCTTTTTATATCCCATGAATATCATTTTTATGGGATAAAAACTCTCCTTCGTGCTTCTTTATCAGAAATTATGAAAACAGGAGTAGGAGAGAGATGAAGATATTTGAATAGACAAAGCACATGTCTGAACATGGATGTAGAACTTTGTATTTTTTTGCTCTGTGACTTCTGTTGGTGTAGTTATCAGCCTGATACTGATTTGCAACTTAAGAATTTGATAACTAATTTAGTTTTTCAGTCTTCTTGTCAAAATTATGTGCTGACTCATAAATGTAGAAGCGCATGGTGAACGTGTTTTTGACAGCTTAAAAATTGTGTAGTTATCATCCGGAGTTATCCATTACACAAAACTATGTAATGCACTTGATCATTCTTTGCAGTCTCTATAAGCCTTGCAAACATATCTTATTTGCAATTGTTCCCTTTATGATAAGATCCTTAGAGTGCTTGCATAAGCAATATGCTTGATTTCTAAAACAAACTAGCTTCTCTTGCAGGAATCATTTTGTTTGTGATTCTGTTTAAATTACTGAGATAACTTTGAAAGTTTAGAAGAGTCTTTGAATTCAAGCACTCTAGCCAGTAATGCTTGTAGTTTGCTGGCAAAAGTATATAGTTACTTTTGAGAATTATGCTTAAATCCTCAAGCTATTTGCAGATGATACACGGGAATCAATCATGCAGAGCACATGTTGTTACCTTTTTTATTGAAGCATATAAAAGGGCATTACCTGTATATCTTCCAGTTTATTTGATTCCTACATTGATAGTTCATCGGCAAGGCCTCTTGAAAAGGTAAATGTGGTTTGACTTTTTTCTCTTTCTTGAAGACTGTTTAGCTGAAATTTGGTGAAATTTTCACTTACAATCTGGCTAATTATTATTATTTGAAAAAAAGAAACTTGTTTACTTTATATGTTGTAGATTTTAGATGATTCTCTCTACTTCAGGCCCTCCATGGTTAGAACAGTAGGTAAATGCCATGCCCTTTTACAATTTGATGTGAAATTGAGCTTGTTATGGCACATGGATACTATAGTTTTTGGCACGCTTGTCAAAACATTTGCTTCATAATATTTTGGTTAAGGAAGAATTATACGTCTAATTATGTTTTAAGTACCTTATAATTTGAGCATCAGAAAAAACCCTACCGTAGTCTTGTTCTTTCTTTATCTTTTTCTAATAGAAACCAATTGGTGCTAGTCTTTTGCTTTCTTTCTGTCCTCTCCCCCACCCCACTTACCTGCCTCTTGCTTCATGTTATCATTATTGTCTGACATAGTTCTTTTGACTTTAATGCAGGCCTTTCACAATATTAGGAAAGAGTATTATTGGTACTGGCAGATCAAGCTTATTTTTATCTTCCTATTGCACATCTGCTTGGTTAGTGTTCTGTTATTTGTACTGTGTCATGCATTGTTTTCACAACATTGTCTATTTGTTCTCCAACATCAGTCGTTCCTCTTGTATTTCAAGTTCAATTTAGACTTCTCCCTTTTAAAGTTTTCTTTTCTTGATAAGTAATTGTAATTGAGATTAGTGTTGCCATTAAAGTAACTAGAGCATAGTTATTGTTTGTCAAAATTTTTCATCCAATCTTTTCCTTCTTTTCCTTTCTTTGATACTTAGGTTGTTCTTATGAAGATTGGTATCTCATATTGGTCAACAATCTTTTATTTAGTCGGTGATGAGCAATCATTTGTTTCATATACATTCACATGCCATCGATGGCTTTTGAATATTTCTTAGCTTCATTAGTGGTTCTGTGCTTCTATTGTGGCAGTCCACTTTGAATGTCTTTTTCTTTTTGTTCCAAAGCTCACTTTGATTGTCAGCACATCAAGATTGTTGGTTTTGACAAGGATAGTAAATACTGTTCATAATTTCCTGCAAAAGACTTGGAGAAAAACAGAGGGAAAAATTTTTACTGAAATTTTCGGTTGATGGCCATATAGAGTTTTGACTTTGGAATCCAGTGAAACTCTAAATCTCAACTTCTGCATCACTGCATCTGGTTGTAATTAGTTTGTACCTTGAGTTTTTAGATTTTGCTCATTGAAAATATTGATCTTTGTCATTGAGCTAACCACTAACTCTTAAGCAGGATGTGGACTTGCCTGATGTTTTGGTTTATCAGAAAATGTAACATACCGATGGTGGTAATTGGAACGGTAAATGACTTGCCAATTTATCATGTGAGTTATAAGCTAAAGTGTTTTTTTTTTTGGGTCCTTATGTAGCGTGTGTTATTGGGCAGTTTCCACCGGGTCTGGCCTTGGCTTTTGAGAAGAAAAGTAGGCGGATTGAGATATCAATCTACTGCCTTGCACGAGCCATAGAGAGCTTCTTTATATGCATGGCTGATGTCGGGTATTTGCCAGAGTCGATGAATCTGAAGAGAGCTGATGTGTTAATTTTTAGCTTGTCAACAGCAATCATAATGCACTGCTACGCACAGGAGAGAGAAGTGTTTCGCTCCAAGTACTTGGATGTTCTTGATTGGGTCTTTGGTGTGCCTCCGCCCCCATGTGAAACCCCTCGCTGCAAAAACAGATGAGCAGTTTGACGGGCTATAGGGTTTAAGAAACGGTTATAGCTGAGAATTCTCTCATCGTGAATGATGAATAGTATTTGTTTGCACCAATAGGGCTAACAGCACCGAGGTGGACGTAGCAAATAGCAATGCATTTTGCATAACAGATTACATAGAATTTATGATTCATCACATCGGCAAAAGCTTTCACGGGTTATAACTTAATGAAGAAATTTTCAGTCTTTAATTATATAATTAAAACAGCATTGTCTGATCTCCAAACAAAGACCAAAAAAGAAAGTCAAAACCCTGATTGGAACCGCAGCCCTATTGGCCGCCGTTTCTTAAACCTCATCGTCATGTAGAAGCATATTATGATGCTGCTCAATTGAATCACTGTCAGCTCAAGCTCTCCTGTGAAAATTCAGGATTTTAGTAGCTAAAATTTCAAAAATAAAGATAAAAGAGAGAAAAGAAGAGAGATAAGAAGAAATTTTAGAATGTAGGAAATGAGTGCAATTGTATTTTCGCCTGTAGCCACTTCTTTTTGTAATAGTTTTGTAATCATTGTAATATCAATTGTCAAATTTTTTAACAAAATAGTTAAAATAAAGACTCATATATACTAAAAGAAATATATATATATATATATATATATAAATGACTTAGATTTTAACTCATATATACCAATTGTAAAAGAAATATATATATATATATATAAACGATTATTAAATGACTTAGATAACTAAGATTTTTTTTTTCGATTCAACTGTAGAAGCTACATCTTTCGAATAATCCATGTCTAAAGATTGACAAAAAATTTTTTGTAGCTCATATAATTTGCCTAAGTTACATTTTCGAGTAAGTTACTCCTTACTAGAAATCTGTATTATCTAATTATTTCTATACATAAGTTTTGATCTAGAATCAAGTTCTTGCTAACATTCAAGCAAATGCATAGGAACATAAATGTAAGTTGAACTTCCAATGTGCATCTTCACTATGAACATGGAAGACATGATGAATTTCACTTCAGCAGTATATTCTAGTTGTATGCTGAGTCTATCTTTAACAACTATATGGCCAAATTACTATAGCTAGCTTAAAACAAGACTTATTGATGACAGATTGTTGTTTGTATGGCTAGAGCTTAACATAAACTAAATTAGCAATCTCAAATTGCCTATCAACCATGTGTCTATTAGCTTGCTTCATTCTATTTTGAGCCTTATACAAATGAAATTTCAAAATTTTGATTGTGGCCTCCCTTGCTTGCAAACTTCTATCCACTTCATCCACTTTAGAATCTCCAGGTAGATATGATTGATGAATGGGAACAGGCTGACCATAGACTATCTCATATGGTATAGTCTAAATGGAAGTGTGAAAACTAGTGTTATACCACCATTATGCTCAAGAGATCCATTAGGACCAATACTTAGGTTGTTTTCATGTCTGCACTTTAGATATGTCTCCAAACATCTGTTGAGCACTTCAGACTATCCATTTGTTTGAGGGTGATAAACAATAGATATTTTTAGCTTGGTTCCTAATAATTTGAACAATTCCTTCCAAAATAAAACTAATGAAAATCCTATCTCTATCAGAGACAATGGTATTAGGTACTCCATGCAACTTGTACACATTGTCTAGATAGGCTTGAGTAACTATAATGGCAATGAAAGGATGAGCTAAAGTGACAAAATGGGCATACGTACTTAACCTATCCATTACAACCATTATAACATCTTTCCCAAATGACTTAGGCAAACTTTCTACAAAATCCATAGACATATAAGCCCATATCTTATCAAAAATTGGTAAAGGTTGTAACAAACCCGAAGAGACAGTTTTATATTTGCATTTCTAACAAATTATGCATTCTCCGATATGTTGCCAAACTACCTTTTTCATTCCTTTCCAATATACCACATTAGTTATTCTCTTCATAGTTGCTTCTACTCCAAAATGCCCTCCATCCACTGAATCATGAAAAAATGTCAATAAATCCTTACTTAACTCCAAATCAACTCCCACCATAAGTTTTCACTTCCTTCCTAACTGACCTGTTTACCAAGTGTACTTAGGAGATTGTCCTGGGTTGTTCTTGAGCTTATGCAAGAAATGTATCAACATTGGATCTTTCAACCAAGATTGTTTAATCTTGGCCATTAGATCATTAGTTACAAAAGATAAAGCATATAACAAGGATGTAGGATTTCAAGAAAGAGCATCAACTGCCATGTTGGTAGAGCCTTTCCTGTAAACAAGTTCATAATCAAATCCCATCATCTTGACAAACCAAAGTTATTAAGCAGGCATATTTGTTTTTTGGTCCAGCAAAAAATTTAAGACTTTGGTGATCTATTGTTATCTAAAAATACCTTTCAGTTAAATAAGCACTCTATTTCTTCACTGCCACTAATATGGCCAAATCTCATTTTCATAAACAGATAGTGCCTGATGTCTAGGAGATAAAACTTTGCTAAAATAAATAATTGGCCTACCATTCTTGCTTAACACAGCACCAATTCCACAACTTGAAGTATCTGACTCAACTACAAAAGTTGAGTTAAAATCTGGCAGTGCCAGAACAAGAGCTGATATTATGGCTTGCTTGAGCTTCTCAAAAGCTATTGTTGCTATTTCTTGCCAATTAAAGGTATTTTTCTTCAATAAGTCAGTCAATGGTTTCGTAATAGTTCCATATCCCTTAATGAACCTGCAATAATACATAGTAAGGCCTAAGAATCCTCTTGATTTTTTAATAGACCCAGGAATTGGCCATTGTTTAACATATTCAACCTTGGTATTATCCATAGCAACTATCCCTTTACTGATCACGAGCCCCAAATACTTTATTTGAGTGCCACCAAAGTCACACTGTTAACCTTGAATTAATCATTATTTTGAAATGATAAAACATTAAAGCTAAATAAACTTGATCAAGATTTTGAAAAAGATTTATTTAGTACATGTTCTTAAGTTTTATATTTTTGGTACTAAATAAATAATATGATTTTCAAAGTTTAAACAAACATTTCTTGGTGTCATATTTCTCAAATCAAATCTACCTTTAAAGATTATTTATTTGAGCTTAAATAAAAGTCCAATTGTTGTTTTTAAAGTGAACTTATTCATTTTAGACTTAATACAATTTTGATAATATTGGTTTTGAGAAATAGATTAACTTAGAAAAGTTGTTTTACAATAACAAAGTTTTCCAACATTGAACTTATTTTATTTTTTTGTATAAATTCATAAGGTTTTAATACTTTAATTTTATATGGTTGGAAAGCTCTTTGAGTCTATTTTCTAATGGATCAAATAAAATGAAAATCCAAATTTTCTAAGAAAAGATTTTGAATTTTTACTAGACATACTGCAATTGTTTAAAAACTGCATAAGGGGTAGATTTGAAAATTTACTATAATTCGTATACAGTGAATTAGGTGATGAACTTTACATGGATAGAAAGCCCTTTAAGTCTAGTTTTTAAATCTTCAAACGATTTGTTATTTGGATTTGTATAACTCAAGATATGATCAAATTAGTAAGTAGAGTACAGAATGGGAGACTACCACCTAACATAGACATGATTGTTCCCTTCTAGAAGGGATCGATCACTTTTTCATACAGAATGATCGCCTCCCTCAAATTTCCAGAAAAGGGATCGATCCCTCCATTAAAGGGATCAATCAATTTTTAAACAGAAAGCATTCCCTGCCCGAAAATAAGCAAAAGGGATCGATCCCCCCACATAGGGGATCGATCACCTAAAGAATAGATCGATCCCCTCAAGCAAGGGATCAATCGGGTAAAGCCATTTATGCATGATTTTTGGGTGTTCTAAAGCTGACCCAATCGATCCCCTAAGGGAGGGGATCGATCTCCTAAGACCCAGAACATTCCAATTGCTACTTTTGCATAATTCCAACAGGCATTTCTTCACTCTAAGCTCCCCCAACGGCTAGTTCCTTAATTTCTCTATAAATTGAGCACTTCAACAACTAAGAAGATTGATGAATCAAGAGAGCAAGAGCCAACAAGTAATATTTTTATTCTCTCAAATAACCAAGAGTTTTTAGAGCTTCAAAGTCTATATCTTTGCATTTATTCTATCCAAATTATTTTTGTTGTTCATTCATCATTTTTTTGTCTATACCATTGTATACTTCAAATTAGCAAACACTCAACCTTTGAGAGGTTATTAGAGTTTGCAAAACACTTAAAAAAAATTTATATTGTGTGCTTGTAAGCTTAAGGGGGAGGATAACCCTTAAGAGTGTGTATTGTTGAGTTTGTAAAGCTTTGAGAAGCTTATTTGTAATCTTCAACAAATAGTGGATTGGAGTCTTGGTGTGGACAACTAAGAGAAAGGACGTAGGTACCTTATGGAGAAGGATCAAACCTCTATAAATCATTGTATTTGATTTCTCTATCCATGTCTCCTTATAATTTATTATTGTTCATATTTGATTTTAAGTTCATTAATTATTATTATTTTCATTATATTTTCATCAAAAGGGCATATTGTCTTAATTTTCATTCAACTATATTGAAATCATTATTTGGAAAGAATTTGAAGAGATCTAATTCACCCCCCTCTTGGATCACCATTTAACCTATAAAGCTAACACACACTTTAAAAGTTTAACAAATAAATGGTTCTAACTAAGACATCAAACATCTGCTGCAAATGTGCTAAATGATCATTCTAGTTTGATGAATAAACCATGATATCATCAAAGAACAACAATACAAATTTTCTAAGGAAAGGCTGAAATACACTATTCATCAAACTTTGAAATGTAAAGGGTGCATTAATCAATCCAAAGGGCATGACCAAAAACTCATAATGCCTTTAGTGAGTCCTGAAAGCTATTTTATGATCATTTGCAGGATCCATTCTAATTTGGTGATAACCAAATCTGATATCCAGCTTAGAAAACCAGCAAGCAGCAGATAATTCATCTAACAATGCTTCTACTAAAGGAATGAGAAGGTTATCTTTAAGTGTGATCTTATTCAACTACATGTAGTCCATACAAAGCCTCTATGAGCCATCTTTCTTTTTCATTAGAACCACTGTAGATGTGAATGAATTGTTGCTATCTCTTATAATTTTAGCCTCTTTCATTTTTGCTACTATCTTCTTAATCTCATTTTTTTTGTACAATTAGGTACCTGCAATGTTTAATCTTGACAGGTTGAGATTTATTTATCAAAGGCATCTTTGATCATAAGGCCTTGTGGAGGTAAATTTGTAGGTGTTTCAAAAATTAGAGAGTATTTTAGTAATAATTCCTGCAAATCATATGGTAAATCAGTTTGTTGACTAAACTGGTGTAACTTATCTCAAGACTGAAAAGATCCAATACCAGATATCATCATTAGTCCACTTGTCTTACTAACCACCTTTAACTTAGCAAACTGCTTACTTGTAGTCATATGTACCTAAACAGCCTTTATTCCTAATAGTTTATACCAGTTGTTTGCTATAGCAAATTGCATGTTCAGTAAGAAGAAATCTCATAAAATAGGTCCTAGTGTCTATAGCCATTGCACCACAAGTACTGCTTCACAGTCCATTAGAGGTAGCATAAAAAAATCAGTATGTTGGACTAGGCCTTGAACCTCCAAAGTCAATGCTTTACTTACATCCTGAGTTGATAATTTGTTACCATTAGCTATAATGACATTGATTCCAGCAATCTTCTGAGTGTTACATCTCAGTTTCTTAATCAAGGATTGATCAATGAAAGTATAGGTACTTTCAGAGTCAACCAAGAACACTACTAATTGGTTTTTGATTCGACCATATAATCTCATGGTCATATGACCTTCAACTCCAATTACAACATATAGGGAGATGATATGCCTGTTCTATATTTCACGATCTTCCTCTTCAATCTCCTCCAAATTGTCTACACTGTCACAGAACTTTTTAGTATCATTATTATTGTCTTCCCTTTCTCAATAAATATCTGGTACAATTGAGCCTTAACACACATGTGGCTTGGTGCAAACTTAATCCCACACCACATACAAAGTCCTTTCTTCATTTTATCATCTCTTTCCTCACAGGTTGGTATTTTGATAACATTGAATTTTACTAAAGTTGACTTAGGTTTACTGGTTGTGGTTTTATAGGTATTTATGGGGTTGGTTGATTTAGTAGGCTAGTTGTAATTTAAGAAAAGATTTTTTAGGGTTGGTAACAATGGGGGTAATGTAGATTTAAAGGTGTAAGGATTATTACGAGATATAGGAAGGGTCGGTACAAGATTCTTGTAAGGTATATAAGGTTTTCTAGGCACATGATATATTAGGGACTCCATCTGTTTGGCCAACTGGTAAGCATGGCTTAAGGATTTAGGATAAAACATTCTAACAGGCTTACAAATCTCAGGCTTTAAATTTCCCAAAAATATACTAAAAGCATTGTCATAAAAAATGGAAAGTAAATTTAATATACTTTTAAACTCCTCATAAAATTCATCAACCGTATTGTTTTGCTTCAACATTACTATTTCTAACATAGGATCAAAGAACTCAGTTTCAATAAATCTAGTCTTCATCTCAATAACATAAGTGAGCCAACTTACCTCTTAAAAACTTTTTTGATTCTTTATGAACCTCTGATGCCACTGTAAGGCTTGTCCCTCCAAATTCATCATCACAATCCTCACTTTCTCATTTTCTTGAGTTTGATCAGCTTCAAAAAATTGTTTGATCTTCAACAACCATCCCTTGAAATTGTCCCCAACAAATTTTGGGCATTCTAACTTAGAGTACTTGGTTGGTACCCTTGCAACTTCCTTTGGTTCACTAGTGGAAAGGGGTCTATAAATAATGACCCTACTACATTCCATATCACCCATGACAGATTTCTGTTTCCTAGCTGATGGTGCTGTTGAATCTCCCATCTCAACTTAATGAAGTGAGATTTGCCTACTGTTCATGATCTTTTCAAACATACCACACATTACTTCTGCAAAAGAATCAATCTTATCATTAAGTTGCTTAATAGAAGTGTCAAAATTGGTCTCCACCCTCTCTAGCTCCTTTTGCATCTGGCCCATGTCTCTCTACAACCTAGTTGTCATACCCTCTGTCATTTGCTAAGAACCGAGGCTTTAATATCACAAATGATGTTGCTCAATTGAACCATTGTCAGCTCAAGCACCCTTATGAAAACTTAGGATTCCAGTAGTTAAAATTTCATAAATAGAGTTAAGGAGAGAAAAAAGAAAAAAGAAGAGAGATAGAAAGAAATTCTTGAATGTAGGAAATGGATGTAATTGTATTTCCTCCTGTAACAATCTCCTTTTGTAGTAGTTCTGTATCAATTTTTTTAACAAAATAACTAACATGTTGATTCATATATACTGACTGTTAAAAAAATGTACAAACGACTTAGATAACTAACATGGCCTTCTTCGATTCAACTTGGAACATATTATAAATTCCATTATTAACTGGAAACTTCCTGCCCGTCTTGGGCCAAACAAGAGCACCTTCCTCGAGATGAAGCTCCAAGAGGGAATGGTGGAACATTCTCATAAACTCCAAATCCGGCTCTAATACCGACGGCTCAGGTGCCTCCTCAGGAAGCTCGACGTAGCCCATGATTCTCGAAGCATCAGAAAACGCTTTCCAATCGACCTTCGGAAATATGTTCCGGGGAAAATCGTGATTGATTTCGACTTGCTTTTCTACCATTTTTTCCACTTCGATCGTGAGAGGGCAACCGTTGGTTACCCCTTGTTTGACGACATGTTGTGAGTTAGCAACCTCATCTGGTTCCTTTGATTCAGTCTTTTCGGTTGTTCCTGTTTCTTTGTTTTGGTTTCTGTGTTCAATATATAACAAACAGCAGAAGTATGACTGTGGGTTCTGCGGAAGGACGAATATAGCAATTTGAAATGTTTGGTGTTGTTAACGATAAGCCCTAGTTCTTATGGCTGGCTTAGGTTTGAGCCCAACTTTAGAACTCAGGCGTAGCTCAAAATATATAAAGTTTTTGTACTAGTAGAAATAAACGGCTACTTGCGTTTTAGTTCAAGTGGTGGGAGTGGTTTAAGATGTTGCTAAAAACTTTAAGTTCAAGTCACAGTACTTTCTGCTAAAAAAATGTTATAGTACTTCCTCTGGTAAAAAAGTTAAAAATAATAATGAAGATCTCATGGTTAATGGTGAAAGTAATTTGATGAGCATATAGTTTTCTTGAATAATTAATGCAAGTAAAGGGTTGTCTTTGATAAAGGTCTAACTAGGTTATGACGTTGAAACTAAATGGTATCCGTCCAATTTAAACAAAAATTACAAAAACAACAAAAGATTACTATTAACATTACTTTTTAAACGTTTATATTTTATTACAATGAGACCATTTTTTTTTTTCTAGTAACATTCCCTATGTGAAATTGTTACCAAATTGCATTAAAAGTAAAAGAAATCCCCGAAGACTATAAAGAATTGAAAATAATTTGTCACTTAAATGAAATGGCACAGGCTGACATCCACATCTTTTTTGTTCTCATTTCTACAATGAAAAATTGAAAGCTGGTTTCTTTGATGGCACAATTAGGAGAATAATTGAGACATATATCTGCAACAGTCACAATCAGATTTAACAATCCAAAGTGTGCAAACACTGAACAATCCAAAACTCAGTCGAAAAATGAAATTCATATCTATAGAGTTCCTTGATTAACTTAATATGAAAGTCCACCACTTGTACAGGCCGAAGCCATAAATTGGGGTGTAAATAATCACTCTCATGGAGTAGATCCTATACCTGCGCACAAATGAGCATTGAGAAAAAAAAAAAAAAACTAATAATCAAATCATCTCCTAAAAAATACTGGTAAATAGTAGTAATTTCCAATACAATTATTTTCCCCAAAGTTCAACAAATTTTCCAGACTCCCAGCTAGACAGAGAAGGGTATTGAAAGAAAACACCATGAACAAACCTAGCACGTGCTTTGAGTATAGATCATACATTTATGAAACCGTTAGAGTAGAGAGAGTTGGATGCTTAATGCGTGTACTGGTTACCGGTCATGCACCAGCAAAAAGTCTAATCAGAAAGCACTCATGGCAGATGGAATTGAACTTACCAACCGATTTAATAAAGAGTTTAATAATTATATATTTATATCTATGGAGTACAAAACAGTTCTAACCATGGCTCTATTGAACCAACCGAGAGTAATGGACTTGAGCTAAATGGGGTAAGCTTGATTTTGGGTACTGTAATGGTAAATGAGTAAGAAAAACTGAAACTCAACCGCCATGTGAAACTAAACCTAAACAGAACCTACAGTCGAAAAATGTTTCACCATCGATCAACCGGTTTTTTCTATTTTCTCCGAAACCAAAATGGTACTTTAGTTAGGAAAAATATAGCATCTTATTACCTTCAAATATGCATCACAGATGGAGGAGAGTTGTAAATGACCTACATACGACGAAATGACAAGAAGAAGAAAGAAGGAAAAATTAATTAACCTTTTTAATCCAGTTCTTCGAGCAGGAAGACCTGCTCTTTCTTCAGCAGTAGCCGGATAATACCAGCGAGAAAAATCACGATCGAAGTAATCCCAGTCAGGCAAAAGTATCCCAGAAATCCCAACCATCCCAAACGCATAAGTTATTATCATTTTCTTCAAAGATAACGTGCATATCCCAACCAACACTATGATCACAGCTAGCGATACTATAGTTGACCTTAGAGCAGCATCATTCGCCATTTGAAATCCAAGTAACAAAAAAAGATGACAGCTACCTGGCTGTACCCAATAATTTAAAGCCTAAAGAAGAAGAAGAAGAAAAAAAAGGGTGTGGGTGTGAATCGTACCTTTTTGGGTGTTTTGCTGAAACTAAAGAAAGAATTAACTGCTTTAAATGCCCATTGTCTCAACGGTTCCTTTCGCTTCTTTAAGTGTTTGTTGGATGAAGTGTTTCTCAAAATTTCTCCAAGCCTAACGTGGTACATGTTTGCATTGCCATGCACCATTTCCCAGTTCAAAATTCAGCTTATTTCTGATTTATTCCTCTTCTCTAATTATAACTCAGTTCTTCAATGCAATGTCTAAACCATAGAAAAGTACTTTAGTAATTTCTCTTCATTTCACCACTATGTTTCCCTAATTTTTTTTTCAATTCAAATTTCAAACAGTCTGTAAGAGATTAAGGTTTCAGATTGACATTACAATAATTCGATTACCATTTGATACTGAAAATTTGCTCATTAAATGTTGATGTTACAATCTAACAAGTAAAAACTACAATTTCGTTTTTGGTGGAAAATTAGGTGCATGTTTACTACCTTAAACTACATAGAACAAAATCACTGGCTTCTAATCAACCGTTAACATAAAAGAAAACTATTTAATACATTGTTTTGCACCAATAGAATTAAGTGATATTTAAAAAATTTAATACTAAATTAATATAATAAATAAACGGTTTATAGCAATATTTTAAATCTTATTTATTAAATTTAAAAATTCTTTTGCCAATGCATGGAATACTTTAGCTAACCATTTGAAATTTGAACAATTTTTTACAATATATGCATGATTGTTGTCAACAGCCATGTTATTTATAGATAAAATATTAAATTTGTAATTTCAATGATTAAATTTTATTCTATAATTTTAAATAAAAAAATCAAATAAAAAAAAATTACGTTGTTAACAAATGGGTTGGACTATACTATGGTCCCTTCAAAAGAGAATCTAGATACTATTATATGGAAAGAAAGTAAGAAACAAGATTTGTTTGTTATACTGGGAAAGAGAAGACCAGAGCCAGAAGGATCAGAAGATTGGTCCAATTCTGCCATGGTTATATACCAACCGTTGAAGTGGATCTTTGGCCTCATTAAACCCACCATGTTTTGGTTTTGAGCCTGCTTGTTCAAATTCGGCTGATCTACAAGCTTGATCTTACCTTACTTCAATTTCAAGTTAAACATAAATATATATATATATATATATATATATAAACTAGCTGAAAACCTAGGTGAAAGCTTTCTAATTTTCATTAGAAAGAAAATGGGATGATGAAAATTAAAAATATTACATATTTAACAGAAACTAGTAATAAAAACCAGTTGATCATTTGTCCTAATGGGATTTGGCAGATTGATTTTATAAATAAAGATTTGATAATAATTCATAGATTCTTCAAAGAAGTCATTTAGTACAAGAAATTAGATATATAATACATTACCTTAATTAGAATCTTTTCCTTGTTTTGCATGATCGATTTTACTGATTTGTATAAGGGGGAATTAAACTTGGATTTTGAAAAGAAACCCTCTGTTCGTTTTTTATAATTACAAATGATTCATTGAAATTGATAAACTGCATTATTTTCTGGTACATAGAATGGGCATAACTCATGAGGAAAGGGGAAGGGATATTGCCATACCGGTTCAAAACTAAAATTTCTATGCCCTCTTAAGAATTCTTTAACTAGTCCAAGAAGCAGAAGACTATTTATTGCATCGTTGCCCCTTGAAATAGTGTGATTAAGAATTATAGCTAATAAACATGATATTCAGGGGTGAAGCCAATAAATTCATGGAGGACCAAAATAGTGAACCAAATTGGAAAAAAGGGTCGAATTTTATATTAAGGGAACTGAATTTTATACTATAATGTTATCATGTTTTTTTGGGGGGGGGGAGAGGCCATGGCCCTTCTGCCTGCCCACCTCCTAGATTTGCCCCTGATGATACTGCCTAGATGCTTATTTGATAAAGAAAGATTAGGTTAACCACTGCAGAAGAAAATATTCACTGAGATGCTCTCAAAGATTAACAACATATATTGTTATGAAGACAGAGATCATAAAAACTTTCTTTCTAATGCTTCCTTGTTTTGTATTTCTATTTTCATTTGTTGTTAATATAAATAATTAAAAATCATAATCTAGTAGGTTACAGCTCATACTAGTTGTTGACTTCAACTATGGTAGAAATTTGACTTTTTTTTTGCCATTATCTAATTGACTTTGAGTAGAATTCATGATATTACATTTTTCCCTAAATATTAAATCATGATGAAATTTTAATAAAAGTTTTATATGCACTAGTTTTTTCTTTTGCCACTAAATTTCATTGGAATACGTAGAGCTGCATGCACAGTTTACGTTTGCTTTGAATATGTTTAACAACAAAATTGTATCATCACGTATTCATGTTGATTGTTGAGGGACTCGATCCACTATATTTATACACTTTATGCTACCTCTTTCTCTTTGGTGAATGCATTTTTGGAGATTGTCACGCAAAAACCAGAAATTTTAATTTGCAATTCGACCATGAGCAAAAACTGTTGTTTTCCATGTATGTTTGGAAAAGCTGCTGCATCAGTCTGGGTTTTGATCATTGGGAAACTTGTAAGGAGATCTCAGCTTGCTTCTTAGCAAAAATGAAGGTTAAAATTCGACAAAAGATTGGCATTAAGGATACTTTATACATATGTATATATATTATGCACATACACTTCACCATGAATCACCTCTACTCTGATATATATTGCAACATTTACATCCCACAATCTGTTTAACTTCAAAATTGGTTGAAATTTAGATTGAACTGTAACCATTCAGGTTGTTTCATAAAAGTGATGTTGAGTTAATTGTTTGTTATTAGTTTGTTTGATTAACTATCACTTTCGCTCTCTCTATCTAGTCTTATCTCTGCTACTGATGTCAATACCAGCCGGAGTCCAAGTCCTAACAGACTGCAAGTGTATGGCTGAAATTACAAGCTACTGGCATCAACTACTAAGCACATTTTTATCCTAGTTAAGCATAAAATAAACCAACTTGCTTCACATGATATTCAATTTCCGTGACATTTTCATACCATATTAAAAATCCCTTATAGTTTGGTGAGTACTGGTTGGGCCAAAATTGACAGTATTGGCTTGTCTCATATGGCTGAAGGAGACTGCAACTTATTATATGCATCTCCAGTGAAAATCTTACAGATTTGATCACCAAATTTATTTTGCCCGTATAGTAAATGGAGAACAAGAATTAAAGAATATGTGCAAGCATTTTATTATTGTAAACACCCAATTTGATTCAGGCCCGGATCAATTAGGCCTTATCCAAATAGGTAAGTTTATGTTTTTTTTTCTTTATTTTATTTTTATTTATTTATTTATTTATTGTATTTTACATTTTTATTTTATTTCTATTTTATTTTTATTTTTATTATTATTAGTGTTTTTTTTATATATATTTTTCTTTTATTTTTATCTTAGATATTTATTATTTATTTATTTATCACTACTATTTATTAATATATATATCTTTATTATTTTTTTTCTGTTAATATTTATAGGTATATCAGATTATATATTAATTTATCTGTTATTTAATTTTAATTTATCTGTTAATTTTTTTGATTTATTTGATTTTTTTTCATTTGATTTTTTTTTATTTATCCGACTGAAAATTGGATTGGGATTCAATCAGAAGAGTCCATGTTGGATTCAATGATTGAATCCCGATCCAAAGAGGAATTAGGATTGATCAGAAACTCTTCTGATCAATCCTTATAAAAAGGATCCTCAGGAACAGAACAAAAAAAAAACAGTGAAAAAAACAGCTACTGGTTGAGAGAAAAAGACATATAGAAGATATTTGAAGGCTAAGAAAGGTTTAGAAGAATTAAAACAGCTTTAGGAATCGAAAAAATTTTTTTGAAGATTTTTGGCGAAATTTTTTTCTGGAAATTTCTAAAAAATTTCCAGATTCCGATGACTTTTCCGGCGGACATTGAATTTTCCAGCGGAGATTCCGGCCAAGTTTGAAGTTTCTGGCCAACTTCTCAGTTTCCGGTGATATTTTCAGAAATCGATCAGTTTTTCGACGAATTTCCGACGAAAAATCTAAATTTCGGTGAAAAATTTCAGAATCCGATGAATATTCAACCAGAGTTCTTCGGACGTTTTAAAGAGAAGGGAGAGAAAAGTAAGGAAGAGAGAGAGAGAGAAGAGGTTCGGTCTGCTGAAAAACGAAGGAACTAGTCTTATATACCCTCCCAAAACGACGTCGTTTTTGCGTTAAATAACTTAGAGAATCCGCACGTTTTGCCAAGATCTGACCCGACTCGAGCGTCGACCCGCTTTTCGATCCGCACGTGTTCTGCCTGCTTGAGCTGTTAGCCAAGCCTAGCCGACATCTTGAGCCGCTTCTCCGAGCCGTTTTTCTTCCTTAAACCGAGCCGAGCCGAGCTGTTCTCCGAGCCGCTCCAAGTTTTTTTTTATTATTTATTTATTTTTATTATTAGATTAGGTTTATTTAATATTCTTTTATTTTTATTTTATTTTTAGTTTACTTTTCTTTATTTATTAATATTATTATTATTTTATTATTTTCCCTTTTATTTTGTTTTATTATTTTATTTTCTTTAAATAAAATCAAAAAAAAAATTTTGGGGAAAAATTGAAAATATCAATTTTTCTTAAAAATAAATTTTCAAAAAAAATTTTTGAGGAAAAGTTGAGAGTATCAATTTTTCTTAAAAATAAATTTTAAAAAAAAAGATTTTTGAGGGAAAGTTGAAAGTATCAATTTCTCTCGAAATTAAAGTTTCCAAAAAAATATTTTTGGGGAAAAGTTGAAAGTATCAATTTTTCTTAAAAATAAATTTTCAAAAAAATAAATTTTTGAGGAAAAGTTGAAAGTATCAATTTTCCTCGAAATTAAAGTTTTTCAAAAAATATTTTTGAGAAAAAGTTGAAAGTATAATATCAATTTTCCTTAAAAATAAATTTTCAAAAGATATTTTGGGGAAAAGTTGAAGGTATCAATTTTCCTCGAGATTAAAATTTCTAAAAAATATTTTGAGAAAAAGTTGAAAGTATCAATTTTTTCTGCACAAAAACAATCATTCCTTTCTTCCTTTTAATTTTTTTTAATGTTAAATAATCCGACGATGGATCCTCTGTAGGTGAAGGGATTTTCTCAATTTTCTGTTAAAAATATTAGAGTCAATTGAGAATAATTTTCAATAGTTAATTATTTGGTACAATTTTAAGGCTCATTGAATAACACAAATTTAAACTGGTACCATCTTTTGACAGGCGTTGTGAGGGTGCTATAACCTTCCTCACACGTAATTGAACTGCCGAACCATGTTCTGGTTAGTAGACCTAAACCTATTCTTTTAGGAACCCTTAAATTTAGGTGTTCTCTGAAAAGACAGATTCTTTAGGTGGTCAATCGCACCTAGATAAAAAAGATTGGTGGCGACTTCCTTAAGTCAATGTCTAGCGATAGATCTCCGGATCTAGACGTTATGACAATTATGGTCTATCATTGTTACTGGTCATGGCTTTGGCTGCAAACATAATTGATGACTTCATACTTCTCCTTACAGGTCTTCTTTTAATACTACTAGGATTTTGATTGTACAGAATGGTGGCTAACTTAAAGTCAACTAGATTTCTTGCCATTTCTTCTATCATCTCATGGTCCTGATTAGGTTATCCATTAGGGACTTAAACACAAGTTTTCTGAAATGGGTTTCCAACCGTTCCTTTATATTTTCTGAATTCCTGGAGACAAGCTTAATCGATAAGCCATCCTCGTCAAGTTTTTTAGTGAATGATACGAATTAATGTGGATTACAGGGAGGATACTGTGGCTTTAAAAATTTGGAAGAAGTTACAAAAAGAAAGGAAAGGAAAACAGCAGAAATTAAAACTATTCAGGGGTTGAATTCAACCGTTGGGGGAATTTTTACTTGCAAATAAAAAGTCGGACGAGATCTTTGGCATGATATGTCGGCATGCAGATATTGGGATCATGAACGTGGCTGATTAAGGCCAAAAAGGTGAATGCCAGGACTTCAGATTTTAGATGCATTGGTTGGAAACCTGCTGAAGCAAGCAAATCAGTTTGTTTAGCTGACACTTGAAAACGTAGCAGATCATATATTAAAAGTTAAAACTAAAAATTTTAAAAAGTTTTATATGACATCACATCTTTATTTATTCAAATCACTCTCTGGTCCACCCGACAAGGAACCTTGGTTGAAGGATCAAATTCTCTATTACTATTCCTTGTGTATGGAAAGTCCAAACATTTACTAACTAATTTGAAGGAGAGACAATGGGGGGTTTTACTTTTACAGTTTAAGGTTTGTGTGGAAAGAAAGGAAAAAATTATAGCCAAAAATGGTATCTCTCACTCTTGTGGCCGTTGGCAATTGACATTGACACTGACTACATTGGCAAATAAAACAAGGGTTTAGGTTTGAAAGAGCTTAGCTTATGAATGAGGCAAGTTGCCAATCTTGGAGAAGTAACAACCAAGAAATTAATGCAATTTCAAAAATACCCCAGGAATTAGCTCAAAGTATTAGATTTAGTATATATTTGACCTTAGAGTGGTCATTGTTTTTTCAAAAACTGGAAATCTGTAGGATATATTATTTGCTTACATCCATCCCCAATTGTAACCAAATTGAAAAGAAAAATGGGTTTCATTCCCTGAGCAATTATATGTAACTAGTTGATTGAATAGTAGAAATTAGATTCAGTTAACATGATCTGAGACTCACTTTTAACAGGTTTTGGTGGACTTTTGCCATATTATTCATAGACTATCTCTGCCTAGGTTGAATGATTACAAATGCAAAGATACAATTTCTGATGAATGATTCTCATGCTGTCTAAATTTGGTTTTCGCAAAATTTGGGTTGATAGCTTTTATTTCTTTAATAACCAAACTTTAAGAAGAAGAAAAAAAGAGAAAAAAACATTGGCTTGTGCTAAAGGATAACCTTCTGCTTTAATTCTTTGTTTTAAAAGACAGAAGGATAGCCAAGAAAAATGGAAATTCTGCAAAAGAACACGAAGATGAAGACAAGTGCTGGCTAGCAACAAATGCAATCGAACTATTCATTGTTGAAGAATGTCTCTTGTTACTTGTTTGCAGAAAAAACAGGTGTTGGTTTGGGGGTGTTTGCTAAACCAACTTCTCTTCTCATGTACAATCTTGGGTTAAAAAAAAAAATCAATTTTAATCGATTTACACGATCATCTCTAAAAATAACATCCAAAAATATTAATATTTAAATAACAACATTTATAATTTTTTTTCTTATTCTTAACCTACGAACTCTTTGTATAAAATATTAAAAGATGTGTTTATTAATATCTTGGCTGCTATGACAATTTTACCTCCGAATAAATTGTGTTGAATGCTTCTTTCATGGAAATAAAATGAGAGAAGAAATTACAAGATGATCAGTCATTTATTTTAAAAAAACGTTGGTAAATGTCTTAATTCAAGTTCCATAGTTGTGAGATAGACATAAATAAAAAAAATTCATATTCTATTTTTTTTACCAGTAAAAATCATATTATATTTTTTGAAACTTATATAATCAATAAAAAATTTTAAAAAACTAAAACAAAATTAATTAATGCTACGGCCTTTACTCGTGGCACGAATTATCGTCTTATACTTGTCACAACATGTCGTCATGTACTGGATAAAAAAATAATTAATAAATAATGTTGTCCAATTTATAATGTAAATTATTATAGATATTGCACATTCACAATCTAAGTGAAAATAAAAAAAAAAATGAATTTTCTACAATCATATAATTTTCTAATAAAACGTTGAATTTTTAATCTTCATGATCAAAAATCAAACTCAGATAACTTCAAATACAAAAAAATAATAATAATAAATTGAAAAAAATTATATTTTTTAAAATATTATGTTTAGGAAACGGGTACAAGTTAATTTTTTAAAAAAGTAAAAGATATAATTATTTTTAATTACATTCTATTATTAAAGTTTTAATTTAACTTTAAATATCATCACAATAACTTAATCAATCACTTTAATATTAAAATAAATATATATTTATTTCAGTGCTTAGGTTCTCTAAATTTAAGCATCATCTAAAATAAGTAGTACGACGTTAGGGATTTCATGAAACCATGCAAACAAATACTACGAGGAAGCAATACACATACTCCTTCCCTTGCGTGCGTGAAATCGTTTCCCTTTGACCAATTTGGCATAGCCACGTTTTAAGATATCCGATTTGCATTATCTCTGGAAACCTTGAAAATACATTTCTGCCATTTTTCTCGTATTACCGGATATATCTACCCTAGATTTTAATCTTGATCATCGGCTGCTACTTTATGGTTTTGTGTTGAAACTATGTGAAAACTTCGGATGTTTAGTATTAAGGTAAAGCATTTTTATACTATTTAACTGAAACTTTAAGGCAATCTTTTTGGTCTTAATATATATAGGCTTAGCTAGTTTTGATTGAGATTGAGTTTGTAGTTATCATTTCACATTGTGGTTGTGATTGGTGATTTAAATTTAAGCTTGAGAGAATCTTAATCACAATTGTAAATCTCGATATATAAATTTATTATTTTAAAAAAAATTTATTTCAATTAACTTTCTTTAATCACAATTTTATTTTATTTGATATTGTGTTTATGGTCAAATTTATAATTGCAATCAAATTAATGCAACTCCAATCACGATGTTAAAATGAAGTTAAATATATTACTTTTTTATATGATAATAATAAATAATAATAATAAAAGTATGTTTGTACATAAAAAGCAAATATCAATTTTACTTTCTTTACATCTGTGTATTATATGTAATCATAATGTAAATTATGTTATAAGCGTATATAAAAATATCATAAGTGATTAATTAATTTAATTTATTTATATAATCATCTTTAAAATGTAATATTTAAAAGATCTGGTATTTAAATTTTAATATCTATAATCTCTTTCATTAATTTTAAATTACGATTTTTTTTGTATAAAAAATAATAACATAATAATATTGTAGCATATAATATTTAATAATTAATTACCTAGATAAATTAAAAGCAATGGGAGGATCGCTAGTGTAGTGAAATAAGCTAATAAGGAAGAGGTGTCACAATCTTAATGGCCAAACAAAAATTGTGGAACATTTTTCTATACTACTTATTAATTAACTATTAAGGATAGGAAGTAACACTACTAAGACTGTGTATAAATAGCATGCCTTGTGAGATTTGGTGGTGACAGAGAGAAGCCAAGCAACTAAAGCAAAGGAACTTAAGCAAATATAGAGAGAATAGAAATTAACAAGAACATGGGGAGATCTCCTTGTTGTGATGAGAATGGCCTCAAGAAAGGACCCTGGACTCCTGAAGAAGACCAAAAGCTGGTTCACCACATAAAGCAACATGGCCATGGTAGTTGGAGAGCCCTGCCTAGGCTTGCAGGTTCAAATTTTAATCATAATTATAATCTCTTTCATTATTTTCTCCTTTAATTTATTTTCTTTGAAGAGGAGGTCTTTTCATTCCCTTCTATTAAAAACATAAAATTGTCATTGCAGGTCTCAACAGATGTGGCAAGAGCTGTAGGCTAAGGTGGACAAATTACTTAAAGCCTGACATCAAGAGGGGCAAATTTTCTCAAGATGAAGAGCAAACAATTCTGCATTTGCATTCCATTCTTGGAAACAAGTAATTATATTTGCATCAAAATTTGATTCATATATAAAACTAGCGAAAGTCACTCTCTTTTTCTGTGTTTTAATTCTGATATTCTTGTTTTTGGTTAAAGGTGGTCAGCCATTGCAACGCATTTACCAGGGCGCACAGATAATGAAATCAAGAACTTCTGGAATACCCATTTAAAGAAAAAGCTGATTCAGATGGGGATTGATCCAATGACCCATCAACCAAGAACTGACATCTTTGCAAGCTTGCCTCAACTCATAGCCCTTGCTAGCCTTAGAGACCTCGTGGAGATCAGTACTACTCATCCATTAGATGAGCACGCTGTAAGATTACAGGCAGAAGCTGCTCAATTGGCTAAGCTTCAATACCTACAAATTCTTGTCCAATCTGCAGCTACAACGAGCAACAATTCTTATTCTCAAAATGGCATTGCAGACATGGAAGCTTCCAACTTATTAAATTCATCAGTTCCTCATATTAAAGAAAACCATGTTCTTCCATTTTCACTTGGAAATGCTACCTCTCAACCACTCCACCATCCTACTCTATTATCTCACTTACCAGACCCACAAGTCCCTTTCAGTTTCCAAACATCGTTGAATGGTGAGACGGGCCACTGTTCCAACTTTACAATGGTCAGCCCAGGAGATAACCAAACCGATAACTCATCATCATGGCTTCTTCCATCCCTTACCCTTCCTCCAACAGTAACCGAGACATCACTCAGCAATCCAGGAGATGCAAGCAGTACTACTAGCTACAATAATAATGGAGCCGCTTCTCCCTACTGGCCTGAACTCTATTTCGAGGACTCTGTCATGCATGATATTTCTTAAATTATATTTAATTAAAAGATTGATACTCTTGGAGTTTGCTTGTCCCATTGTTTGATGTTACTGTAGATAAACATTGCAACGATCTCATGCTTTATTACATGTATAATTAACCTCCAATACCCAAATATAATCTTTCTTCATATTTATACTGCTTATATTTATACATGTAGGCAATAAAGTATTTAATGTGTATGCATATTTTATTTATTTATTTATTTTTATAAATATAATTATAAATATAAAATATACATTATTATCGACTTGAATTAAGCTTAAGTTTTAAATGGTATACCCAAGATTCGATCCTTTCTAAAGGAATTTGTAATTTAAATTCAAATTTATTATCAAACCTCATATTTATCATTAAATGTTCTCAAATTTCAAACCAGTTTTCAAATTCGAATAAATAGTTAAAACATTAAACATGTCTAGTTGTAGAGTGTAATTTCTCAATGTTTTACATAGAAATGTTAGGCAATCCTCTTGCAAATTGTTGCTAAAGTCAGAAAAAAAAAATGCAGCTAATAAAAAAATATAAACTACAACAACTTTAAAATTTGACAACACTAACCAAAGAAATACTGCCCACTCATGCTATATATATAAGACAGCTTAAATTTTTTATGGTGCCAATTTTGTACGGCAAGACAAAATAGAGGAAAATTCTCTTTTATATTCTTAATAAATATTATGATTGTTTATGATCATGAAAAACTCATGATGTTGCCACTCGAAGCCACGGATGAATTGTTGTCACCGCCAATTTTACATATACATATATATATATATGTATGTATGTATATATCTCATCTTCTAAACCAGAAAAATCAAATTATTGCAAAAGATTTCGTTTAACATATATACTATATAACTGCATTGACATAAGAAACTTTGAGTAGTATTTAATATAAAGGGTAGGATTAGGTAATGAATATTTTCCTTTCTCTTTCAAGTAGGGATAATATAAGGGAGGAGAAGAGAAGAAACCTAACCATATCCTGTTTTTCTATATGTTGCTTTGACAAGCATGACCAACTCGTCTTTAATCAAGATTTCAAGGCATCTTTCTCTCTCGCAGAAAAGATACAACTGGACGAGCACTCCATTTGGTAGTTGACATGTGCTTCATATTGGCTTTTAATTCTGAAGACTTTGTAAATATATTGGATTGGTTAATTTGAAGGTATAACATAGTCAATCCCTTGAAAGAAAAGAAATCAAGCTCTCTAACTACCCTTAGAATGAAAACTATATCTTTGCTCTTGCATGCAAATAAACTTTTTTAACCTCGGACTTAACTCAAACGGTTCATTTACCTCTGCATAGTAGATAAATTCTTATAAAAATGGAGATTGATCTCCTGCACTTGCAAAATCTTTTTTCTCATTTCTTTCCTTAGACTTTGGCTACCCTTCTACCGAAAAAAATGCTTTCCTTTTCTTTAATCCTAAGTCCTAACTAGTACGAATATCCTAAGACCTTAATCAAATTAATGCATTATTTGCTCTAGAATTTAAGCTTTGCTTGGTACGGAAGATGGAAAGAAGTGAGGATAAAAATTTTCTTAATCTAATGGGTTAAGCTACAAACTAGTATAGTTCTTTGTAAAGGTTCTGCAGCTTCCATGGAGATGGGGTATGAAGTATTGTTGGGATATTCTTGGATGCAGATTTAGAGAGCGATGCGCTTGGTTGGCAGTATATATCTGGTACTCTTCCAGATGGTCGTCAGTTTGACCGAATAGATAATCCACAGGTTTGGCTGAAATTTGTCAACTGTCTTGCAGATTATCTTTGCTAGTTGACTCCTTATGCACACCCTAAAGTACATACATATTTCTTCTAATTATAATGATATAATTATGTTTCTATTTTTTGAACTTGTTCGGTATACTTAAGCTGTATTGCATAACATATGTACATTTTCATCCATTCAAAGTTTTCTTGGATCATATATAGCGACTAAATCTTGTAATTTATGTTATTGTATTATATTTCGTATCAGACATGATTTTAAATATAACACAAATAATTTTAATACGAACATGATATAAATATTTAAATGACACGAATAATTAAAAGACGAACACGATAAATTTATTCTATGTGTTACACATGACACGATATAACTAATATATTTTAATTCGTTTTAAAAATGAGTAACACGATACAACATAATACAATTAACACGATTATACATGATTAACATAATTAAACGCAATTAACACTAAAAATCTAATCAATAATTCAACATTAAGTCAAAATAATAATATAATAAAATACTAAAACATGATTATATGCATGTTAGAAACGTGTCCTTTATATGTGTTGATATGATAATATAATTAAAATACAATTAATTAATTAATCATATCTTAAATGTGTAAAACACAAAACACGATATTTATAACATCATATCTTAAATGTGTCGATATAATTAAAATATGAAATACGATTATAGAAAATATAATTTATTACATGTCATTTTCGTATCATGTGATCATATCGTATCTAAAATTACAATGAACAAATTTGATCCAAACGGTGAATATGTCCGGAGGTGGCCTCCTGAACTTGCAAGACTAACAACTGATTGGATTCACCATCCATGGAATGCTCCTGAATCTGTACTCCAAGCTGCTGGAATTGAGCTCGGATCAAATTACCCTCTGCCTATTGTAGGAATTGATGCTGCAATAGCCAGGTTGCAAGAAGTCCTTTCAGAGATGTGGCAGCAAGAAGCAGCTTCAAGAGCTGCTATTGAGAATGGAACTGCGGAAGGCCTTGGAGACTCTTCTGAATCAGCTCCTTTTGTCTTTCCTCAAAACATACAAATGGAGGAAAACCTTGAACCAGCTAGGAACAATGCTCCAGTTACAACCCGACGATATGAGGATCAGATGGTTCCTAGCATAAGGCGAACAGGAAGAACCTTATTCGGATCTTAGAACTTTAGCAGAAGATACACAGCAGAAGTTCCAAGACATGTAAATATAAATCAAGAACCACAATGAGACGCATTAAACCAAGGAATTACGCAAACAGTTCGTAACAACGACACTTTTTCGCAATTTAATTTCCGGGTGGGAAATGCTGAGGATTCCGTAGCAAAATCTTCTAGTATTAGTAGTAGTTTTTCCGGAGATTGTCCAGAATTATTCTCATTTTCTGCTCATAGCTGAGGTAAAAGTTATCCTTTAATTGGTGTCATACAGAAATTTGGAGGCGAGCTCCTTGTAGTTGGAGAATGCCCAGTTTTGTGGGCTGATGGTATGATAACATGCCTTTTTATCTACCCCATCTGTTGTCACCAATCTTACTTGATTAGCAGTTGATCTTCTATGTGTATGAAACTTGAAATTGATACGGCTGCTCAGCGTCTATCATTTTCCTCTGTTATACCATCTGCATACTTCTGCTGTATAGTAAAACCAGGTTTGTCTTCTTTATAAGAAAGGTAAGAGAGTCGTGGTAGAAATGTGTAGTTCTCTAATAAAACCAGGTTTCTGTATTTACGTTTAACTGATTAGGAAGCTATTTTATTGTAATTCATCTGTTTGTTTTTCCAGCTTTTACCTCATTACAGCTATAGGTTTGAAAAAACATCAGAATGCGGCTCTTTGGATTGGTGCGAGCCTGTGACCTTATATTTGCCACATTTCTGTGATTCATATTTGTGCTTTTTTGGTTTTGGAAGTTCTTAGAAATAAAAGCATCGATCAACAGACCAAATTGAGTGAGCGCCCTCAGTAAAAAACCTGTTCTAACATCTCCATTCAATTTACCTTTATCACTCAAAAGAACTGCTTTTGAAAACAATGAAATTTATGCTTACAAAGCCAGTGCATTATTTACCAAAATGGACGTTTGAGATTGAACACTAACCTATGCCATGAACTTTACAAAAGGTTCCAGCACAAAATCAACCCTACTGCTCCATTAATATCAAATTGGACCTTTAAGCTACCGTTATGACCAAATCCAAGCATAGGCTAGGATGCGAAGCGTGATTACGTATTGAAGAAAATGCAAAGTGTAAAGCTAATCACATATCAGATAGCAAAAGATCAAAAAACAAATTAAGACAACAAAAAATTGAAACACAAAAGAAACTTGAAGTCATAAGACTATAAAATAATAGATTCAATTACGTTTAAACAGAAGAGAACACAGTAAAAGTCTGAAAACAACTGATGAACAAATTGATACAAGCCATAGGTCACAATCCCCTTTCCTACCTCGACAAGCCCATTCTTTAATCTTACCTCTGCCCGACCTTCATCCGCTTTTGATTGCTCACTCGGATTATCAAATAACAAATTTACAAAATGGAATGTATCAGTGGCAGTTGACAATAGAAGTTGCTAACAGCAGTAGGTGATTAGGAAAAGGAGTTATGCTTCTTGAAACTAACCATAAATATATAAAAATCCAGTCGCATAATAAGCAAATCATAGCAATTCAAATGTGCAAATACATATATATTCACATATTAAATCACAGACACACATGCAAAGGACTTACCTCCTTCCTCTGGCAGATCCGAGGTCCATAAGGTGAGATTATCCCTAAGAAGCTGCATAATAAGGGTGCCATCCTTACAAGATTCTTCATTAAGGCTATCAAGCTCTGCAATAGCCTCATCAAATGCTTGTTTAGCCAGATGGCAAGCCCTGCTCAGCTATTGCGTCACATTATATAGAAACTAACTAATAAAGTAGAACTCATATCAGTAGCTTCATGCTTCATCTATAATTATTAAAATAAGTAAACAATAAACCATGATTATTGAGGAAACTATCTCTGAGATTAGCACCAAATGAAAGGAAATATTAGCATTGCCATCATTCTCCCCAATGAAAAGAAATTTTCAAGTGGATTACATGTATGTGTGTGTGTGTGTGTGTGTGTGTAAATAAGAGGGATGCATTCTAATCACTCTGGAGAATTTAATATCTCATGGTAGAAAACAGAGAAGTTCAAAGCCAGGCCAAGTCTAAT